GGAGAGAAGAGAAATGGCGAGAAGGAGGTGTCCAGCGACGATGGTGCAGCCAGCCAGCCGTCCGCTTCCGAGGGAAATTCTCCACAAAGGTGGACCCGTTGCTAATGAATGTTATATAACCCTTTTAATGCTTTAAGCCTCTTAGATTTTTCAAAGAGCCCTCTCCAAGCGCCTCCTTCGTCACCGCCTCCAATTCGCTCTTTTTCCGCTCTCGCGGTGCACCAGAAGTGGCCTGCCGACGCCGCAAGAGGAGAAAAAAAAAGGTCGAGCGAGAAACGAGGGGGGCCGCCGCTCTCTTGCCTCAGGGGTAGGTAATTATGTGGCGGACGTAAATTAAGCTTGTTTAGATTGGGATTTTTATTAAGGTCCTTTATGAAAGAGTGCCGCCGCAAAATGGCGCCGCGAACACTTTAACCACCCGGAATTCCTTTAAGCGCCGCTTGAAAAGGGAACGACAGGCCAGGCTTTATGTTTTATCGGCTGTAAGTACACTTTGGATTTTCTTTTTCCTCTTCTTCTTCGATCTATTCGATTTTACGGTGTACAATTGGAATACTTCATCGCGTCGCGGGGGTTTAAAAAATTATTGGTACTGTATGAGAGATGCGATGAAAATGGAATTTTTCTTGGGAGATCCCGAAGTAGTCGTAAGTAATGATCAGGAAGTGTGTATATAACAGGGAAGGAGAATGTACCGAGCGACTACTATACGGAAGAAATAACTAAGGGTTAGTTTAATCGTGCTTTAGGAGTCGAAGGTTTTAACCTTTCTGTTGTCCCCCATTTACCGAGGGTAAGAAAAGACTGCAGCCGCTCGTATAGCTAACGTCCGGTCCAATTCCCTGGTATATGGTATGGTACGAAATAAAACACTGCTAATCGCTGCGCTTTCTTTACTACTGTTCCTACTTTATTTTCTCGACTTCTATCGCTTACTGTAGCGATTAAATAAAAATTAACTTGACACACTTGTTTTTTAAACTAATTCACTATTTGTCAAATTTTCTTCTGTAAATAAAAAAAATTCGTTATGACCGATAGAACAATGACATCTGTATTTTAAGCTCCCCTTGTCTAAAAATTAACGTAATTTGTGCTTCTTTTAAAGTAATTGAAACTTTCCAAATTTTTTTCCGACTTCCAATAATATCGATCAATTGATCATCAGAAAAGCGACATCTATATTTCAATCTACCCTCGTTTAAAAATTAACGTAACTTAGGCTTCTTCGTTTCAAACAATTGGGACTTTTAAAGTTTTTCTTCTGATTTTCGATAAAATCAATCGATTAATCGTCAGAAAAATGATGTCTATATTCCAATCGACCCTCGTTTCGGGACATGTTAATTTTGGTCCGTGGCTAACGAGGGGCTATTGCAGTATAGCAAACATCTAGCCGCCTTCCCGCCAAGGTTTGTGTACGGAACTTTGGCAAAGCAGTTCGCAGGTACAAACTGTTCGCTATATATTGCAAATACGCGTGCCTTCGAAGTGGCGGCGGGAGAACGAAGTTCCTGGTAGAAGTTTAATTCAACCGGGCGGCTAGCCGGGCGTAAACGCTGAATGATTTGTTGCAAATCGAAAGCGCTCCAGCGCACTTTTGCACACGAATCGGGAAACCGTATCTTATCCGTCACGTAGCGCTCTTTCCGATGCACCTACGTATACACACATTTATGGATCAAATTATCGAGACCGTTTTTTCTTCTTTCTTTGAAAATTTGGAAACTTTTTTAAGTTCAAATTTTTATAACTAATTGACCTAGTCTTTTACTGATTTTTGAGAAACTCACTTTTTAAGTGAAATCGTGGTCATTTACTACAGCTTTCCCTTGTGCAATTGTTCTATTTTGGGTCATTTTCATTACTTTAACAAAGTACAATTTTTTTATATCGATGTCAGGTAGATTTCACAGGTGTGCAAAATTTTTAGGATTTTGTTTTTAAACGTGCTACCAGATAGCACTTATTATACATTAATTTGAAGATTAAAGTTAGCCAGAAGAAACGCGATCGGTGATTCCTCAATCCTTCCACTATTAAACGACACTGGCCACTTTTTAGTTGGACAGAAATTTAGAAACGAAACTGAAGTAAAAGACATTTTCAAAGAGGTATAGAAATCACCGTATACGACAATGAATCCACGAATCAATATCACATTCCATTGAGCAGTTTTTAATTAAACAAAAATTTACAAACGAAATGGAAGTAAGAAATATAAGAAAACAATATAGAGTTTTCTGTTAACAAAGCCACGAATAATTTTGCAATGGTCAAAGCGTATAAAAGCCAACGAATCACACTCAACGATCGCCCACAATTTTCACTAAACCTACAAACACATTCAATCGACACCTCAGTCATCTCACCTGCGACAACCCACCGAACACATTGTGGCGACCGCCACGGGGGGCCCACGTACTTAGGCCTGATGACTCTTGGCCCTCGAGGCGAAGAATCGAGAGATGTTTTTCCAAACATCTCCGAGTTTCTTCATCCTCGAGGACAAGAGTATTGCCTCGGCACTTCCTAGGACTTTCCCAGGGAAAAGGGGCTACTTAAGGGAGCCCCGAAAAAGGCACGAGGCCTTTTGTCCGTAGACGTTTGAGGGTTCCAACAATAAACGAATGGTAGCATATGATTTGGTACTTCAAGTAGAAAATGGTATTTCATTTACAAATGGAAAATATGTTAATATTAAAGCTACACAATCCTTTTGCATTTTCTATCTGTATATAACACGAGCAGGTAAATGAAGATGTTAAAGACCTCAATAAGACCTTTACTTGTAACCGTACTTCCAAAAGCGGCTTTTCCCAGAAGAAAAAAACCCTAAATTGTCCTAGCTGAACTCAATTTTCAGTAAATATATTAGAATCAGTTTGACTTTCGCTGGATACAAGAATTCTTTGTACGGTCCTGACCATGGTTTCAAGTACTTATCTGCTCGTATTTCTGTCAATTTCGGGGTCCCGGCAGCTAAAACATGTTTACTTTGACGCCTAACCGATTTTACGACCTCGCTATATCGTGGCCCCGACTATACATTTGAAATTAGTTTAAGCATTACCGTTTTACACCACGTTACTTCCAGAACGTAAAAATCGAAACGACCACATTCTCACCGATATTCCCAAGAAATGAAATAATCGATGACAATTAACGAACAGCCCCGGCGAAATTAGTTTAAGCATTACCGTTTTACACCACGTCACTTCCAGAACGTAAAAATCGAAACGACCACATTCTCACCGATATTCCCAAGAAATGAAATAATCGATGACAATTAACGAACAGCCCCGGCCATTACCGTAGGATTCAGCGAGCGGCTTTCTCCAAGACATCCGCCTCGGAGTATCGAACATCGGGATTCAACGTTGATTTTCTCGGATAGGTCTCGCGAGGCGAGCCGGGCTATGCTCGCTCGTTCTCTCGATTAGGCTTTGCCGTCATTAAAAGTTTATAAAGAAGCAGAGTTACCAGTCGAGGCACACAGACGAGAGCGATCGAGAAAGAGAGAGAGAGTGAGAGAGGGGTAGTTTTGCGAAGGAGAACGAGGGGCAGCGAAGGGATCAACACCCCACCTCGTCGAACGGGAGCGACAAGAGAAAGAGATAGGTAGACAGTGGCGGAGGAACGAAGAGACGAGGAAAGATTCCAAGCAAGTTTTCTCATGTGCAATGCATAATGAGGAAAGGCAGACGGCGCATAAAGGGCCTACAAATGAGGCTCAGGTTATACATATACATACATTCCGGCTAGATGCGCGTAACAGACACGAGCAAACGTTGCACACGCACAAGGGGGGGAGGGCAGCGCGAAAGACTCTCGGTTGCAGCGAACCAACCAACCACCCCCGCTAGGTTACCACCGCGACTTCTAAGCGCGCAACCGAGTTAAAAAGTTCTCCCTCTGATTTTAGTTATCCCCTGCAACTTCGGAAACGATGCACTCGTAAAGTTCTCGGTTAATCTCCTGTTTGTGCTACGCTCGCGTTACCAAGCGCTACGAGCGCCGATCAGGAGTCGACCAGGCGCTATTTAGACGGCGGAGTTTTAAGTGACTGTTTTAAAATAAGATATTCCGTTCGTTTCTGTGGGAATGTCTGTTCTTTTTTTTTTTTTTTTTTGGTTGGTGTAGTAATAGCGATGATAAAAGATTGTGGTGTCCAGTTGATGGTACAAAGGAAGATGACAAGCACTGAATTGCAATATTTTGTCGATGAAAGGAGAATCGCGTGAAATAAAGAAATTTTGAGGGAAGAGAAGAAATATTTTTGTTAATTTTATGTGTAGACGAGCATAATTTTTCTAACGTAATCTGGAATAGAGCAATTTAGAGAAGATTGTCCTTTCACGGGGAATATTAAATTTAAAGTATTTCAAAATTTTTGACCAGTCGACAATTTGATTAATCATTTAGAAAGCAAGTGTAAGGTCTAAGAATATACGCAGTACCTATATTAACACGTTGACTGCCAACCACGAGATAATTCGAATGTCATGGTATAAAAATTCATATGCGTTTGTTTCATTCTGTACAATTAATTGAAAGAGAAATGTTGGCGTCTAGAACAGATTTCCAACGCGTTAAGGATATTGTCATAACTGTATAATATACTTCTTGCTAACATGTTTTTGCAATTCTGGAACTTTCAGTGCCATTATTATGCACTTCGGGTATGTCTATGGATGAAGCGTTGTTATAGCTCAATCAATGAATTTTCACTCATGGTCGAGTTGCTGATTGCTAGACACAGACCGTTGAAATAATAGCCGCCGAATGTACGAGCACGCAATGACCGAAGCATGCTGCATGAAAGCCGATTAAAGGTGTTGGATCGATCTTCCCTAGTAACTGACTCACCAGTTACTCCCTCACAGACGGTGAAAATCCTCGAATATGTTACTAACTTTCGTGACAATAAGCGTATGCACAAATTTCAACTATTTCGGATAAAGTTCGTAACTACGGATTAATCCGATCTTTCGACTTACCTTGTTCATGATTTGGCGGGGATAGTCCCGCCTTGAGAGGGCCGACTCTGTAACAGAAAGGACACAAATATTAGCTTCGTAATTATTTAATTTGAAATGTAACAATGAACAACGATATTTCGTAGAATTCTTGATAATTGAAGGATTCAAGTGTTCAATTTTCAGAAATTGAAATAACCACGCCACAACGTTGTAAGTTACATAGCTGCTGCTGATATTAGAGCGATTCTATTATACCATAACACAAAGAGAAATAAAGTTTAAAAAATAAAAATGAACAAGTCTTTTCGTTTATCCTTTCTTCTAAAAATTTCACTTTTCGGTACTTCAAACGTTATGGCTTAGGATCCTTCAATTTTTTGTAAACTGCGAAACGTCTCTTTAATGAAATTTTTCAAAAGAAGATTATTATACAAGATAATAGTCGTTGAATTTGTCTGAGTGAACTACGCTCAGTTCGGTTAAAAAAAAAAGATGTGCTTGAACTGCCTTTGACATTTTCACGTATAAGAAAATTAAATTACTCCGAAACGTGTGTCCCCTAAAATATTAAATTCTTACTAACAGCATTTTCTCATATCCTCAATATTTTTGGATAATATTCGACGAAAAAATTGCACAAAATTTTCTTCCAACGGTCTCATTTTCACAAAGAAAGAACATTGTGTAGAACACGCGAGCAAGGTGTCGTTCGTCCGTAAAAGGGGTCTAAACTTCCCGCCTCTTGCTCGTCTTTTCAACCCTTTTACTGCGTCTCGTGACGGCAGCTAATGCACGCAGGTTAGTCCTCGACCGTGCACCCAGTCCCGCATCTTCACCCCCAATCTTCTCTCCCGTTCTCGCCCCTCAACAGGCACCGCCGAATTCCCGTAATCTAATGAATGGCCTAACCCCAATATCCTCTCGGCTCAGCTTCACCGTCACCTACCCCCTATGTACTCGAACTGTATGTACCATGCATGTAAATACGTTCACGGACGAGAGATTCGAGCGATATCGACGAGCGCGCGGGTCCTAGCCGTGTACACCGAGCTTCTTTAAAATTCGACTACCCTCCAGCGATAATTAATTACTATGACATTATCGCGACCGTATTCCCCTTCGATGCTCCCACGTCGATTTAACCAAGACGATCGAATCGGACGTCCAGCAATTTCCTTAACAACCGATCCAGGATTACACCGTTAACGAACAAACTTCCCTCCAAGTCCACGCGAAAAATAAGAAACGCTATTTGCCAAGGGTACCGTGATCGTGTACAGGCTTCGGGAAAGTAAGGAACGGCACGGGAAGAAATTAGTCGAAAGCAAATTGCCGAGCGACGAAACTTTTCAATGCGCTTCGTTAGATACAGCGACCCGACACGCAGCCGGTGTCAACCTCTGACACGATAATTTCTACTTTCCCGACGTGAGAAATAAAATTTCACATCTCGTATCGAGTCACGTGTGTCTACTCTCGCAATTTGAACGTAGAGCAGCGAAACAACGGTTAATTACTCAACGGCAGGGCTGAAGGCGAAGTTCTTTCGTCCAGAACGAGGGACGGACAAGTCGAGCAGGCTCGAGGCAGCAAACGACCGCCTCTGGAACAGAGACAAGGAAGCGCAAATGTGTTTATTTTCGGGGAATAATAAAAAGGGTCGTCCGGCATCCGTGACGCGGCGCGGAGCGGCGATCGTAGGAAAGTTGGGAATAATGTTTCGGACACGACGTTCGTCTGGCTTTGCCCGAGAGTTCTACACCCACTCGCACCCACAGACCTCCTCCACCCTCTCCCGATCTCCAGCAGCCTACCCTTATACGCGTGTCCGCCGCAGATTCAGACTCCTAATTAAGACGAGGGTGCGAGAGGGGTTTCAGGGGTTTCTCCCGGGTTCTCCCCGAAGGGAGGTGGGAGGATGTGGGTGTGGGTAGTAGAAGGAGGGTTTTCACGAGGTAAGGGGCACCCGTACCGCGCCGGAGGGGTAAGCCAAGGCAAAGGGGGTAAGGAATATTGATCACGGGACCACCACGGCGGCGAAGCAGGGACTGGCCGTACTCTCCCTCTCTCTCTCTCTCTCTCTCGCTTGCTTCATCTATCGGCCTCTCCGTCTCGCTCTCTTCCATCGTCTTGCTCTCTGTAAGTGTGTCCTACGCTCTCTACCACGTAAGCGTTCGCCGTCTTTCGGTGTTGCTCTCGGCGTGCAAGCAGCGCGGACCAGGCCAGACTAAACCACCAAACGCCAGATGCGTGAAATCAGTCGGTTAGAGGCTGCCCCGCAGCCTTTGCGAATTATTGACGCTGAAACCGCGACCGCGGAGCAGATGATGCTGCGAGCTGTTCCGAGGCGAGCCGGCCCTTAGGGAGCCACCGGACCGCGGCTGGCTTGGCGACACAAGTGGAATGAATACGAGTATCGCCGGCTGAAACTGTGACACGGTGTCGAGGGAAATTTCGTGAATAATGTGGACCGGGAGAGAATGGGATGGAGGATATTGAAAATAGAGGAGTCAGGAGTCTGCAGGTTTTCGGGTACTACTTAGGCCTAGTGTCTTTCGACATATGAAGTCGATATTTGATGCCACTTTGCACTGTCTTCGCGAGTAACTGAAACAGTGCAAGCTTCCGAGTTCATGACATTTGTTCGGAATGATAGCCTACTTATGCACCGATGGATCGTGTATTAATTAATTTGTAATATCGCATGAACGGTCCAGAAAAGAGCACCTATTGCGCAATTCTAGCATTGACCTAGGCATGTTTAAGCTAAGAGTAAGGTTCAAGCTGTTTAGTTTCAAGAAACTGTGAGTGTGTGCATGTATGAATGTAACCAGCGAAAATGTGTAGTTTTCCTTGCAAAAGCCAAACTCAGAGAAACTTTTCGAGATTAAACTGACCTGCATGTTGCGGTCAAAGTGCATTCCACGAGTGTGAATATGTCTGTAAGTGTGTCGTCTCCCTAATTAATCACCAAATCTCCCAAATTGTAAGTATTACAATGATAAGACTACGTATCAATAATCTTCAAACGAAGAATCTATCACCACAAGAATTCCAACAACTTCATGCTCCCAAATGACAAATTTTACCGAGGAAATCGACGACCTTAGAAAATCCTCAAGCGAAGAAGAACAATTCAGAGATTTCTCAGATTTAAACAATCAGCATGCAGGTGAAGTCAGTGAGAAGGAACGGCTCTGTTCCCGGCACGGGGTCTCTAATGTACAGAAGAGAGAAACAGGTCTGTCGGACGAAAGTTCCTCACCCCGGAATCAGGGTGGCCTGACGAACTTTGACGTACACGCTCGGCCGAACAGAATCTACGTCGTAGACGTGTGTAGCGTTCTCACGAGTTTTCGAGCGATCTTCTAGAATGGCAAGAAGGAGGAACGACCTGGCTCGTTCCCGAGGCTACGACAGGAACACTAGAACGACGGACGAGCTCGAGTTTACACGACGTAGCGACTCGTCTTTCTGTCCGTCGCTCTGCCTTAATTAAATCTCTCGACCCTTCCCGAAGAATTCGCGTGACTCTAGCGGAGAACTAGAAGTAGATGGCCCTTTCTTCTTCCTCGTTCTCTCTTTCACGATTTGCTGTCGTAACGCGTCAGCATCGTGGGATTTTTCTGCTAATTGTTACGAATGTCTGCGAGAAACGTGAACAAGCGGAACTGGAGGTTGTAGCTTTAAGGAGATTTTATTGTAATTTATACTGGAGCAACGAGAATTAGCTACGGTGGCGAAGGAAGGAGTAAACGGAGGTTCTGTGACGTTTGCAGTAGGATAAGAGTTAAGTAAGAGATATTTGGTTGTGCAGTATGAAATCTTGGATTTTTCAAGGAGGAATGAGAATGGTTTCTTGAATTCAAATTAAGATTGTCCTTTGATTCCTCAATAGTAACTTATCAGGAATTGCATGAACTTTAAGTTGACACAAAAGAACTTTGAACTTTTCAAGAATTAAGTAATCACTTCAGACCAATTTGCGAATGATTAGAAAACCAAAATTTCGTGCTGGACGACTTAATAACAGAGGCATGAAAAAATTGGTTCGAGAAGTTTATAACCCTAAAAATCGGATACTTTTGCACCTTTCACAGTGAAAATATTTTTGAAACGTGATGTAATGCTTGCTACTTTCTTCTGTTTTAATTTCCATGCACAATAAATTATGAAATTAAACAATCACTTGACTGTATACCCGAATTCTTAAATTTCCATAAATTCGACACTCAGTTGGTCATTCCCCTTTACGAGTTGCCGTACTTAAATTACGCATGAAATCGAAGCAATGCCGTTACGATCTCACTTTTACATTTTCTGAACTCTGTTGGTTTCCTCCCTTGCACCCTCCAATTATGAAACATTCTTCGCAACAATTCTTAAATCTTCAAAAACTTGCCATTCAGTTGGTCATTTCTCTTTACGAGTTCCCATACTTAAATTACCTACGAAACCAAAGCACAATTTCATTTTTACAGTTTTCGAACTCTGTTGGCTTTGACCCTTGAACTTTCCAATTACGAAACATCCTTCACAACATTCAAACTGACAACGTAAAAACCTATCCAATGATTATCGAAAACTGAAAACTCGATTGTCCAGTTTCACCCGATGGGAAGAAAACAATCTGAAGCAGCCAGCATCGAGATGAGGATGATTATACAGCGGAAAGTTAGCCAGAAGGCTTGCCGCGGCATATAATGGACGATTGATCTGTCACGGATAACGTCTTTTCTTAGTTCGCGACCTCTTCAGAGATTCAATGCAGCTACATTTTCATGGCTCTAGGTGCCGTTATTCGGTCCGGTAACGAACGTCAAGGGCGACCTCGACGAGGCCGGAAGAGATCTCATTGTCCAGAAGCGGAGGCCACGATAGGGAGGGTTGCGCACCGCCGGCAACCAGCCAACTCAAACTTTGATATGGTTTCCTAAATAACCAAGGCGACCGATACCGCAGCACGATAGTCCTCTCTCTTTCCCCCTCTGCACCTCCACCTCGATATCCACCCGTCGCCCTCGTCCGCTTCTGCATCCACTTCGTCCGATCTATGGC